AAGGGAGAAATGTGGGATTCACATATAAATCAAGTACAAAAATCAAATGAATATTCATATTTGACCTTATTGTTTATAGTTCATAATGAGTGATCAAAACCGAAAGTTTTTGTGATGACTGCCCTTGTACTGTTCACCATGTAGAACTTATTCACTATGTAAGAATTTGTTCACCATGTAAGAACTTGTTCATTATGCTTCAGAAGATTGGAGACTGATGAGAATTAGGCTGTGGGTGGATTAATGATTGTGCATTGAGCATTGATTCCCCTATACAGAATTTTATTGTTAACAACCATTTGATCAATAAATATGAGAGATGCCCTCTCAAAAAAATAAATAAATAAAAATAAAAAAAATAAAAAATAAAAATATAAATAATAAATAAATAAATAAATAAAAATAAAAAATAAATAGAATTGCCAGATAAAATATAGGACATCTAGATAAATTTGAATTTTGGGTAAACAATAGGTAATTTTTTACTGGAAGTATATCCTGAATATTGTATGACACATACTAAAATTTTATTTATCTAAGAATCAAATTAACTGGGAATCCCGTGCTTTTATTTGCTAAACTGGCAACCCTATGCCCAAAACACTTCATCCATGAAAAGCAGACCAGTGTGAAAGCTTGTAGGTTGAATAGGCATGGAAGCCAAGAGAATACTGAGGTTTTCCAACTTGATGTCCAAAATATCCAAAATAATAAAATACATACACTTACTGTGCCAGAAAAAAAAAAAAGAAAGAAAGAAAGAGACCTAATACCACACAGAAATTTGATATCTGATAAATGCAGCATTTCAAATCACTGGGAATTAGATAGACTTTTTACTAAGTAATGTCAGGAAACTGGATTGCCATTAGAAAGAGCCAAAACTGGATCTGTACCTCACCTCTTTTACCAGATTGTGCTCTGAAAGGACCTAAAATCTAAAGTGAAAAATGCCACCCTACAGATTCTAGAAGCAAACAGCTGTGAATTCCTTTATGACCAGGAACGGGTAAGCCTTCCGAGGCATGACTTAACATCCAGGCAGAATAAAAGGAGAAGACTGAGCATTTGACTACATTAAGTAGCAATAATAAAACAAAGAAGCAATCAAAAAAAGGTTACACAGCAAAAAGCACCAAAAGCAAAGTCAGAAGATAAACCCCAAACTGGGGAAAACCATTTGCAATTTACATTGAAGAAAAAGTGCTAATCTCACCCATATATAAAGAGCTCTCAGAAACTAAGAAGAAAATGACTGAACCTGATGGAAAAATATGCAAGAGGCTGCTATTGAAGTTTCAAGAGAAGGAAATGCCAATGGTCCTCAGACCTAAGAAAAGGAGTTTCATCTTGTTTTTAGCATGGGTGCACCATTATCAGCATGGGTGCACACACCACTTTCCAGCCTCTCCGTGTGCTGTTTCCACAAACCCAGACTCAAGTGCCCACACCCTGAACACAAGCCAGGCAGCAGGGCTGGCATGGGGAATTACTGCTCTACATTCCCGGAGCTGGCGCTGGATTCCTGAGGCCCATGCTGCTTTGGCCTCAAGGCCGTCTCTTCCTCTCGGGGGGAGCCGAGTTCTGGGCGGAGTGCCAGAAGGAAAGGGCGGTGGGGGAAGGGAGAGGAGGCTGCCCTGACGCTGAGATAGGCAAGTTCACCAACAAGCTGCCTCTGCCAGGTCAGCCCTCCCTCCCTACCTGGCCAGCAGCTCAGCCCTCCAGCCATCCCTCCTGACCCTCGCAGAGACCCAGGCAGGGATCCAGCTCAGGGTACCCGAGGCAGCCAAGCCACCTGTTGTGATGGGCACAGGAAGCAGGGGGTATGGGCCGAAGTCTCACGCCAGCAGGCAGGGAGCTCACCGGGAAGGACTTGATGGACCACACGATCTCACTGTTCTCGGGAACCCACTTGACGCTCCCGACAGTCGTCTTGAACTTGGGCGAGTCCGCATCATTGGGCACGGGGATGTGGATCTCCACATTGTTGGCCGTCGACCGCCGCTTGAACTGGCTTTTGGCCTGGAGATAAGGCCAATGTGGCCAAGGTTGTGGGTGGCAAAGGTGAGGGTCCAGCCCCTGCCCAGGATGCCCAGGTCTCTGGATGGCATGTCTCCTGTCTGGGCCCCAGGCTCCCTCCATCTGAGCTCACAGTGAGGCAGCACAGGTCAGGGGTCACAAAGCCCCACAGTACCCCCAGCACCGGCCTAGGACCCTGTGCCAAAGGCCTCGGGCAGATCAGAGACACCCGAATGCCCTCACCAGGCAGGGCCGCCCACCGCCCCCCAAGGCGGATGCGCACACACCTTGATCATATACTCAATGCGACTGTGGGAGTGCTTTTCAATCACAGACTCAATCCATATCAAGGGCTTGACCTGTCACAGAGAGGGAAGACAGTGCTCACACCTGGTCATTTCACAGAGCCTGTTTCACAGAGGGGAGACTGAGGCCCAGGGCATGAGACCGTGTGCCCAGGTGTGTGCCCGGCTCTGGAAGAGTCCGCAGCCTGAGCCAGGACGGGTCGGAGCACAGAGAGGCAGCTGGCAGTCGCGAGCCTCTGGGAAGGTGTGGCACCACACGGCACGCTCTGGTGGGGCGGCCTGGGAAGAGGCGGTAGCACCAAGGCCTGGCCTCTCAGAAGCTCTGCCTTGGGCATCGCCTTGAGGGCATGGCAGTCTGCTGGACAGGGCCTCAAGGACGTGACACCAGCCCCGGACGGGGCGCTCCCACCCAGCAGGGAAGGGTGGATGGGAGCTGGCGGGGGGGAGCCTGCCAGGGAGGGTGCACTCACATGGGTGTTGAGGCGGTAGGACATGAGCTCAAACTCGCCGTCAGGCGGGATGAAGGAGATGGTGCGGTCATTCTCAAAGCGGGACAGCCGCACGCACTGGTGGAACTTCACGTCCTCCAGCTCCACAGACTTGCTTTTGCCACCTGAAGGCGGGGAGGTGAGGACGGGACAGACCCCAGTCCCTCAGGGTCACTTTCTCAGCAGTGCTCCCCCATGTCCGCTCCCATATGTCTTCTCGGGAAACATCTGCTGAGTGACTAACAGACCTGGCTGGGGACGCTCCCCCGGGCCCTGGCCCCCTTGTCATCACTTGAGTCCTGAGGTCCTGTCTTGGTTGCCCATCCCACAGAGGGGCAGTGTGAGTTGGGCCCGGCCCAGGGAAGGGAGCTGCCCGGACGGGTAACACCTGAGAGGTCCCCACTACGGCGGCTATGGGCGCTAACCATGATGGCACGGGCCGCTGCTCCGCCACTGGTGGGTCTGTGGCGGGCCAGGAGGCAGGTGGTCCACTTTGCAACCCAGGCCCCTAAGGGTGCCCGGGCTCCTGCCCCACCGCAGAAAGTGCTACATCCAGGCCAGGCGGCACGAGCTGGAACCAGCGTGTGTGGCCTTCAAACTGCTGGGAGCTGATGCCTGAGCTGAGGCAAGACCTGGGCTATGAGGGGACAGTGAGCGAGGCCTGACCCTGGGCCCCCTGCTCCCTTCCAGGCAGTGCTGAGTGACCCTCCACACATGGCATCTAAGGCGCCCCGTGTCCTCTCGTCTGGGGTGACGAAGGACCTGGCTCGAGATTCTCACTCTCCCGTGCCTGACTGTACCACTTGATTTGTTTTCACAGTTGCCTCGTAAACAATGTGGGAATGTCTCAGGAGCAAGTGCTTGAGATCAGTTGTTTTTCATGCAGGTGAATGTCTGCTCGGCTCTGCTCTGAGCTTGGGACGCGTGGCCTTGGGCAGCGAGGCTTGGTCTGACCACAGGGAGACTCACGGCCTGTGTTGTCGAAGAGGACCTTGTCATTGAGGCCCAGGCGCAGCTCGGGCATGCCCGACAGGAAGACCCGCATCTTGATGGAGCCCACGATCTCGCTGCGCAGGACGTTGCCATTGGCACTGACCTGGGGGCGGCAGGGCTGGCGTGAGGGGAGGGCCCCATTCCCCAGCTGCAGTCCCCCACCATGCTGCATGCCCCTCCCAGCCACCCCCATTCTCAATGCCTTTGTCACTGTCCCCTGAGCTGGGGGAGCCTCACCTGCCTCCCACCCAGCCTCTAGGGCCACAAACCTCTGGGCCTCAGGCCACACCAGACCAGGACTCTTATCAGCACCTGCTCACCCACTAGGCAGGCCTCTCTGAAGTGGGCTAGACTAACTTTTCTTGAGATCTCTTTTTCCACATGGAGCTTGGGGAGGCCACCGTCCCCACAACCTCTAGGGCTTAGACCTGACCCTGGGCCCCAAACCCTCCCTGCAACCAGGGCTGCCCTCAAGACTGCCAACCACTGATCCAAAATAATAATGTGCTGAAACAGACAGTCATGGTGTCACACTGACTGAGCAGCTCCTCTGCACAGGTGCTGCCGCCAGCACTCGGCAGTCTGTGAGGCTGGGTTATGACTCAGGTGACCCTACAACTCATGTGCAAACTGGGGGGCACCTGACAGTGCAATCACAGAGCCACACGGGCCGCCAGGCAAACCCTGAGACCATCCTGGGGGAGCCAGGCTGCTGGAGCCCCACTCCTGGGCCACTGTAGAGACTAGGACACTGAGGCACAGGCGCAGGTCCTACAGGCGGCAACCAGGACAGGCTGACCTTCTCAGCTGAGGTGTGACCAGTGGCCCAAAGCCGGTGCCTTCCCCATGGTGGGCTTAGAAGAGATGTTTGCTGAGGGGTCAGCTGCCTGAGTGCTCTACTGCATCCAGACACATGGATTCGGGAGGCTGATGTTGACTCAGTCACCAGCAATGCAATGAGACTTAGGAAGGCAGAGCTCTGACACACCCACCTTGTGCTGGCCTGTGTATGGAGGAACAGGGGTCCTTCAGGCACAGCCACATGCAGACATACACTGCAGCTGGGATGTTGCCTGAGCTCCCAGCCCTTTCCCATGCAGCTGTTTATAACCTGCTCCCTAGGATTTGCTTTTCCACCCCAGGGGATGCTAAAGCCAGATGGACCATGTTCTGGGCTCAATAAACAACACAGATGAAGGCCCTCAAAAATGATTGGTGGGGCCACTGTCTTGCCCCAAGCTTAAAAAGTAAGATGGTAAATATGTTTACACTGAGTCCAGTGCAAGAACCTTTTCAGGCAGCACCTTCAACAATTCTGTGTCTGAGAACTCAGCCCCCCCAGAAATCCCGCCCAGGTAGGGAAGATATCCAGAAATGCACGCCTGAGGATGGACAGGTGCACTCGTTTGTGCACCATCTCTAACAGTCGGCAATGGGCACACCAAGTGACCCACGTGACAGGACCGCCCCAGTCCGTCATGGTCTGTAGGATCAGTGGGAGGGAGGCAATCTGCAGCTGGAGACAGGCGGGGAGCTGAGCTCACACCACACTTTCTGGGCCCATGACGACAACTACAAAACCTTCATGTCTCCTGTCTGGGCCCCAGGCTCCCTCCATCTGAGCTCACAGTGAGGCAGCACAGGTCAGGGGTCACAAAGCCCCACAGTACCCCCAGCACCGGCCTAGGACCCTGTGCCAAAGGCCTCGGGCAGATCAGAGACACCCGAATGCCCTCACCAGGCAGGGCCGCCCACCGCCCCCCAAGGCGGATGCGCACACACCTTGATCATATACTCAATGCGACTGTGGGAGTGCTTTTCAATCACAGACTCAATCCATATCAAGGGCTTGACCTGTCACAGAGAGGGAAGACAGTGCTCACACCTGGTCATTTCACAGAGCCTGTTTCACAGAGGGGAGACTGAGGCCCAGGGCATGAGACCGTGTGCCCAGGTGTGTGCCCGGCTCTGGAAGAGTCCGCAGCCTGAGCCAGGACGGGTCGGAGCACAGAGAGGCAGCTGGCAGTCGCGAGCCTCTGGGAAGGTGTGGCACCACACGGCACGCTCTGGTGGGGCGGCCTGGGAAGAGGCGGTAGCACCAAGGCCTGGCCTCTCAGAAGCTCTGCCTTGGGCATCGCCTTGAGGGCATGGCAGTCTGCTGGACAGGGCCTCAAGGACGTGACACCAGCCCCGGACGGGGCGCTCCCACCCAGCAGGGAAGGGTGGATGGGAGCTGGCGGGGGGGAGCCTGCCAGGGAGGGTGCACTCACATGGGTGTTGAGGCGGTAGGACATGAGCTCAAACTCGCCGTCAGGCGGGATGAAGGAGATGGTGCGGTCATTCTCAAAGCGGGACAGCCGCACGCACTGGTGGAACTTCACGTCCTCCAGCTCCACAGACTTGCTTTTGCCACCTGAAGGCGGGGAGGTGAGGACGGGACAGACCCCAGTCCCTCAGGGTCACTTTCTCAGCAGTGCTCCCCCATGTCCGCTCCCATATGTCTTCTCGGGAAACATCTGCTGAGTGACTAACAGACCTGGCTGGGGACGCTCCCCCGGGCCCTGGCCCCCTTGTCATCACTTGAGTCCTGAGGTCCTGTCTTGGTTGCCCATCCCACAGAGGGGCAGTGTGAGTTGGGCCCGGCCCAGGGAAGGGAGCTGCCCGGACGGGTAACACCTGAGAGGTCCCCACTACGGCGGCTATGGGCGCTAACCATGATGGCACGGGCCGCTGCTCCGCCACTGGTGGGTCTGTGGCGGGCCAGGAGGCAGGTGGTCCACTTTGCAACCCAGGCCCCTAAGGGTGCCCGGGCTCCTGCCCCACCGCAGAAAGTGCTACATCCAGGCCAGGCGGCACGAGCTGGAACCAGCGTGTGTGGCCTTCAAACTGCTGGGAGCTGATGCCTGAGCTGAGGCAAGACCTGGGCTATGAGGGGACAGTGAGCGAGGCCTGACCCTGGGCCCCCTGCTCCCTTCCAGGCAGTGCTGAGTGACCCTCCACACATGGCATCTAAGGCGCCCCGTGTCCTCTCGTCTGGGGTGACGAAGGACCTGGCTCGAGATTCTCACTCTCCCGTGCCTGACTGTACCACTTGATTTGTTTTCACAGTTGCCTCGTAAACAATGTGGGAATGTCTCAGGAGCAAGTGCTTGAGATCAGTTGTTTTTCATGCAGGTGAATGTCTGCTCGGCTCTGCTCTGAGCTTGGGACGCGTGGCCTTGGGCAGCGAGGCTTGGTCTGACCACAGGGAGACTCACGGCCTGTGTTGTCGAAGAGGACCTTGTCATTGAGGCCCAGGCGCAGCTCGGGCATGCCCGACAGGAAGACCCGCATCTTGATGGAGCCCACGATCTCGCTGCGCAGGACGTTGCCATTGGCACTGACCTGGGGGCGGCAGGGCTGGCGTGAGGGGAGGGCCCCATTCCCCAGCTGCAGTCCCCCACCATGCTGCATGCCCCTCCCAGCCACCCCCATTCTCAATGCCTTTGTCACTGTCCCCTGAGCTGGGGGAGCCTCACCTGCCTCCCACCCAGCCTCTAGGGCCACAAACCTCTGGGCCTCAGGCCACACCAGACCAGGACTCTTATCAGCACCTGCTCACCCACTAGGCAGGCCTCTCTGAAGTGGGCTAGACTAACTTTTCTTGAGATCTCTTTTTCCACATGGAGCTTGGGGAGGCCACCGTCCCCACAACCTCTAGGGCTTAGACCTGACCCTGGGCCCCAAACCCTCCCTGCAACCAGGGCTGCCCTCAAGACTGCCAACCACTGATCCAAAATAATAATGTGCTGAAACAGACAGTCATGGTGTCACACTGACTGAGCAGCTCCTCTGCACAGGTGCTGCCGCCAGCACTCGGCAGTCTGTGAGGCTGGGTTATGACTCAGGTGACCCTACAACTCATGTGCAAACTGGGGGGCACCTGACAGTGCAATCACAGAGCCACACGGGCCGCCAGGCAAACCCTGAGACCATCCTGGGGGAGCCAGGCTGCTGGAGCCCCACTCCTGGGCCACTGTAGAGACTAGGACACTGAGGCACAGGCGCAGGTCCTACAGGCGGCAACCAGGACAGGCTGACCTTCTCAGCTGAGGTGTGACCAGTGGCCCAAAGCCGGTGCCTTCCCCATGGTGGGCTTAGAAGAGATGTTTGCTGAGGGGTCAGCTGCCTGAGTGCTCTACTGCATCCAGACACATGGATTCGGGAGGCTGATGTTGACTCAGTCACCAGCAATGCAATGAGACTTAGGAAGGCAGAGCTCTGACACACCCACCTTGTGCTGGCCTGTGTATGGAGGAACAGGGGTCCTTCAGGCACAGCCACATGCAGACATACACTGCAGCTGGGATGTTGCCTGAGCTCCCAGCCCTTTCCCATGCAGCTGTTTATAACCTGCTCCCTAGGATTTGCTTTTCCACCCCAGGGGATGCTAAAGCCAGATGGACCATGTTCTGGGCTCAATAAACAACACAGATGAAGGCCCTCAAAAATGATTGGTGGGGCCACTGTCTTGCCCCAAGCTTAAAAAGTAAGATGGTAAATATGTTTACACTGAGTCCAGTGCAAGAACCTTTTCAGGCAGCACCTTCAACAATTCTGTGTCTGAGAACTCAGCCCCCCCAGAAATCCCGCCCAGGTAGGGAAGATATCCAGAAATGCACGCCTGAGGATGGACAGGTGCACTCGTTTGTGCACCATCTCTAACAGTCGGCAATGGGCACACCAAGTGACCCACGTGACAGGACCGCCCCAGTCCGTCATGGTCTGTAGGATCAGTGGGAGGGAGGCAATCTGCAGCTGGAGACAGGCGGGGAGCTGAGCTCACACCACACTTTCTGGGCCCATGACGACAACTACAAAACCTGGGCGGGCGCATGGGGTAACAACCAGAAGGCCAAAAAGCAAGGCAGGTAGATCTAAGAAGCATCCCCTCACCCCCATGTGGACATGCAGAGGACACCCGGAAGAGGAAGTAAGACCCGGCTGGTGCACAGAGCTCACAGGAGCCTCCGGCTGCAGGGCCGGAAGGGGAACGCCTGCTGCTCACGGGAAGTAATGAACACCTGCCTCAATCTTGACCCTTTTCTCTGTTCTCTCCCATCCCGGGCTCCCCTGGCAATCTAGCTGTTATTCTGAGAGGGTGGGACAAACCCAGGATTCAGGCCCAGTTGCAGACAAGTGGGCAGAGTGGGGATCACAGACCCAAGTTTTTTGCTGCAGAACCAAAAAGGGAAGTCCTAAGAGGTGAGAAAGTACCAGGCAGACAGCAGAGAGCAAGGAGCTCAGGAAAGGAACCTCAGCAAGTTATCCTCCAGTGCCTTCTAGAACTGGGTGTGCACGGATATGATTGGAACTAGCATGCCAGACCCTGAGAAGCAGACTGCCCTCTGCGCAGTGCGTACTCAGGATGGCCCCAAACAGCACATGGCATGAAGGCTTGGAAAACTGAACTGATACTCATGACCTACAAACAGATGGGCGGTTGGAATTTGTGGCCTGAACTTAACCAGGTCAAATGTCAGCTAAAACAAAAATACTGACATTTTCCAAATAATTTAAATAAGACCTAGACTCTCATAATGTAACATTAAAAAAGTCCAGAATAGTCTAAAACTACTCAGTATACAAAGAACCATGAGGATTTCAGGTCACAGGGAAAATACAATCAACAGATGCCAACACCTACATGGATGTTGGGATAATCTGACAACGGCTTTAAACAGTTGTGATAAAATGTGCAAGCATTCCTGAAACAAATGTTAACATAGGAAGTCTCAGCAAAGAAATAGACTCTATGAAGAAGAATCAAATGGGAATAGAACTGAAAAATATGGTACATGATATATAAAACTCACTGGATGGGCTCAATAACAGAATGGCAATAAAAGGAAAGGGTCAGTGAAGATAGATCAATAAGAATTATCCAACCTAAACAACAGAGAGGAAAAATGTAATAAAATGAACAGAGCCCCAGGGACCTTGGGGCATTAACAAAAGGCTTAACATTATTGTCACTGGGGTAAAAAGAGAGAGTGAAATGATGAAACATATTTGAGGAAATAATGGCTGATAAGAGACAGAGACCTACAAATTCAAGAAGCTGAACGGGTTGAAAACAAGATGGATGCATGAGAAGTGAGGAAAAAACTTCCTCCCAAGACCACATATAACATGAAAATACAGCAAATACAATGAATCCTGAAAGAGCAACTGGAAAGAAGACTGCAACACACAGCCTACATCTGGAGAAAAGAGAAGACCACACAGAAAAGGGTAAAGTAGCAAAGCTGCAATCTGGCGGTACCCAAGCCCTCCTCCAACCCCAGCTCACCAGAGGGAGGAAGAGAAATGGAGCAGGGAGGGAGTAGAAGCCCAGGACTGCTAAATACCCACCCACCCCTGGAAATCTACTCTGGGAGCATGAACCCCCATTACATGGTGCTCTGGAGATTAGAGGGGTTGGAAAGCAAAGACAGGCAGAATACTTGGAGAGACTGATATTCCAGCCATTTGAGGAGAACAGGTACCCTCACCCAGCGGCTCCAGGACAAAAGAAAGGCGGGCACTTTGAAAGACTTCCCAACAGCAAGAGGGCTGCAAACGGGGCAAGGATAGCTTGCTGCTCAGGAGAAACAACAGGTGGACAAAATTGTCCTGGCACACTTAACCCAGCAGGTTGGGAATTTTCAGGAGCTTCATGTGCTCTAACTCCCTGGCTGGCAACGCAGTGCCGAGGACCCCCCCACTGTGACACGCAGCCTGCCGCTCCTTCCTCCCAGCCGGCACCAGTTTGCAAACCTGCTGCACCTGCCATAGCACCAGGCCAGCCAGAGGGCAGCGCCACCTATGGCAGCTACAGGGGTGTAGCATAGAGGCTCCTCCCTGTGCACTTGGCCCACTGGCCCTGGCAGTGGAGGCAGGCACTGCAGCCAGGAATCAGGAAAGAGCTCTTTCCTCCCAGCAGGAGCTGGCAGGGCACGCCTGCAACCCCCACTATAGCTTCAGGAGCTCGGCAGCTCCAGAGAGTAGAGCTTCTGGGCACTAGAGGGCACTGCCTATACAAAGTTATTATTCCATAGTAATCATTAGAAATATGAGAGAGCAAAAGAACCTGGTACAAACCAAATCCCTCAAACATCAGAAAGAGGGCTAAGTGAAATTGAAATTAACATCTTCCTGATAAAGATTTCAATATAAAAATCATAAACATGCTCACAGAGCTACAGAAAAATATTCAAGACCTCAGGGAGGACTTCAAGAAAGAGACAGAAACTTTGAAAAATACAGTCTCTCAAGTGAAACTTACAATGGAGGGCTTTAAAAGCAGATTAAATGAGGTAGAGGAGATAGTAAATGAAATAGAAGTTAGAGAACAGGAATACAAAAAAGCTGAGGCACAGAGAGAAAAAAGGATCTCTAGGAATGAAAGAATATTAAGAGAATTGTGTGACCAATCCAAACAGAACAATATTCACATTATAGGGGTACCAGAAGAGGAAGAGAGAAAAAGGGATAGAAAGTGTCTTTGAGGAAATAATTGCTAAAAACTTCCCCAATCTGGGGAAGAAAATAGTATCGTAGGCTATGGAAGCGCACAGATCTCCCAACACAACAGACACTAGGAAGACAACACCAAGACACACAATAAATAAATGGCAAAGATCAAAGACAAAGACAGAGTATTAAAGCAGCCAGAGAGAGAAAAAGATCACAAGAAAGGAAAACCCATCAGGCTATCATCAGATTTCTCAGCAGAAACCTTACAGGTCAGAAAGGAGCGGCATGATATATTTAATGCAATGAAACAGAAAGGCCTAGAACCAAGAATACTCTACCTGGCAAGATTATCATTTAAATTTGAAGCAGAGATTAAACAATTTCCAGATAAGCAAAAGTTGAGGAAATTTACCTTCTGCAAAGTGTATCTACAGGGTATATTTAGGAGGGTCTGCTATAGACGGAAGTGCTAAACCGCTGTCACTAGAGAAAATAAAACCACAGTAAATGAAACAGACCAATTAATTACTAAGCAAAAGCAAAATTAAATCAACTACCCATAAAGTCAGTCAAGGGATACATAAAGAGTACAGAATATGACACCTAACATATAAAGAATGGAGGAGTAAGAAAGAGGAGGGAAGAAAAAAGAACCTTTAGATTGTGTTTGAAATAGTGTAATAAGCAAGTTAAGTCTGACTGTTACATAGCAAAGAAGTGGCCCCTGAACCTTTGGTAATCATGAATCTAAAGCCTGCAATGGCAATAAGTACATATATATCAATAATCACCCTAAATGTAAATGGTCTGAATGCAGCAATCAAAAGACACAGTTACAGAGTGGATAAAAAAAATAAAAAGACCATCTATATGCTGCCTACAAGAAA